TCACAAAGACCTAGGGCGCCCGCAGTGAGGAGTGAGGCGCAGTGAGACTTTCAGGGGACCCTCCCCTCCTGGTTGCTCCTCGCCACAATCCCTGCAGGCTCTGTGCTCGGATGGGGCATCCAAAGCGGAGCTGGGTTTGCAGGTACCTTTAGGTGAGGATACCTGCAAGGCACAAAAGTTTGCCAGCTTTATGGCCATCCCATCCCTGGAATAGTACACAGGTAATAGCAATAGGGAAGGCTGAGAGTTTTTAACAACCCAGGGAAATGCCCGCCCTGCAGTGCTAGGTGAGAAAAAAAATAGGACACAGCACTGTGCGTTCAGTAAGACTATAGTTATGGGCAAAACACTTGTGTCTAGAAAAATGCCTGAAAGGAAATGGATCAAAACATGAACAACGGCTCTCAGGCTGGGGACATTATGGGTGGTTTTGTTTTCCTTCTGAACTTTTTAATATTTTCTTTATTTTTTTACCAGTGGGTATGTTCCCCTTTTATCATGAGGTAGAAACGTTTTCTTAAAGAGAGGAAAGATATTGGTTGTCAATAAGATTTTTTTGTCTTTCAATTGTCACCTCCTCCAGGAAACCTTCCTTCTCTGGAGGGAGGGGGTGACTTCCTCCTCTGTGCCCCTCGAGTGTTTGCACAGCCTGTATTAAAGAGCACTTTTTGCTCCCTAGGGTAATTATTGACGTCAGTGTCTAAATCTATGCTATTCAATATGGTAACCCACTAGCCACATGTAGCTAAGAGCAGAGCACTTGAGATGTGGCTGGTGCAAATTGAGAGATGCTAAAATATAAAATACACACCAGATCTCAAAGACCTAGTATGAAAAAAAAATGTAAAATCGTTCATTAATTGCATGTTGAAAAGGTAGTATTTTGGACATACTGGGTTAGATAAATATATTAAAACAAACTTCACCTGTTTTTCTTTTTTTCATGTGGCTACTAGAAAATTAAAAAATTGTGTATGGGGCTTGTATTGCATCCTATTGGACAGTGCCGGTCTATGAGTTTCATGAGGAAGGATCTGTGAGGGGAGATCGGCTTGTGCCAGCTCAGGTCCAGAGAGGGGAAGGACCCTGTCCGAGGTCTCACAGCAAATGAGTGACAAAACTAGAACTTGAACTCAGAACTAGAATTTGAACTCCCCCTGGTCTCGCGCTGGCTCCAGCTGTGGTCTGACCCACCACTGGCCATGTCGCCCATGGGTCCTGTATGTGGGCAGAGAAGGGGCATTAGGATGGGAGTCGGAGACCTAGTTCACTGGGAGGTGACCTCTATGTCTGTCACTCAGCATAACACATTTTCTTTTCAGAAAGCCCTCAGGAAGAAGGCCTCAGGGAGAGCTGAGGGGGCCCAGAACTCATTGTCGTCCACTGGTATGGGGGAGATGAGGACACAGCTCTTTCTGTCTCCACTGAATCCACAACAACGGAGAGTCAGAGCAGAAAGTGGCCTCAAAACCACCTCAGCCAATGCCCTCATTCTGCGTTCGTGGCAAGTGAGGCCCAGAGAGGGTGAGTGCATTGCCCAAGGTCACACAACGATGCTCTCCTTATAATCCTCGATGCCTCCCCATTGTGCTTAAAATACAATCCATGTTCTTTCTCCCTGACCTAATCTGCTTCCCACTCTGGTTGCTTGCTGTGCTTCAGCTACTATTCCTAGAAGGTGTTCAGGATATTCTCACCTAAGGGCCTTCGCATTTGCAGTTCCTCCCTGGAACTCTTTTTCCACACTTTTACATGGCGGACCCCTCATCATCCAGGTTTTAGCTGTCATGTTTATGTTTCAGTCTTCAAAGAGGACTTCTCATTCCCCTGGCTAGAGTAGCTGCCTCCCCTCAGTCACCCAAGGCCCCATCACCCTGTTTTAGTGTCTTCCTGGCATGTATCAGTACCTTAATTATCTTGTCCATATATAGGTCTTATGTGGCAGAAGGAAGGTTCTAGAAGAGCAGGGCCTTTTCACAGCTGGCCCTGCCTCCCCCATGTCTAGCATGTAGGAAGTGCCCCATTGGTGTTTATTAATCAAATTTGACTGAAAGAGATCTGGACAAATCAGGTGACTGAAGGCTAGTTGCAGCTGTACCCCCGCCCCCAAATCCGCTGTGTGTCCTTGGGTAAGTACTTTTTTTTCCCTCTCTGGGCCCCAATTTCCCCTTCTGAAAAATGGAGTTTCCACTGCTGCCAGGCTGGCTGGCAGGATAGGCTGGTTGAATTAGCATCAGTCGAGCTGATGGGTGTGAACACTGCTTTGTAAACTGTTAAAGCGTGATTGCAAATGTGAGTAGCTGTTGTCATTAGACAAATGAAGTTAAGCTGCCTCTTCCTCACTGCTGAGGGGATTGGGTCAGGTGCTCTCTGGGGCCTCTTGCCCTGCGGGTGTATTGCTCTGAGTCCGGGCACTGCCTGCAGGCGGCTCACAGTCTGCAGGGGTTGGGGAGATAAGATGCAAATCAGAAACAAACAATCCGAGAGCCCAGCAAAGGTTCTGCAGGGGGCTGACCATCTTTCAGGAAACAGAAAAGTGCAAAGGCTCAGAGAAGGAGTGAGGCCAAGGTCAATTAAAGCTCTTGGCAGGGGGGGGCGCAAATCCAAGCCGGCAGAGTGGAGGGGGCACCCTGGTGGAGTGCACAGCGGGGACAAAGGCACCGCTGAGGGCAGCTGCCAGAAACCAGTGAGGAAAAGCCCGGCCAGACGGCAGAATCCTGCCACCCTGTAGGATCCCAAATGGGGAATAAGGTATTGTTTAGGGAGAAAAAGATGGGAGCGAAGGGGGCTTTATTTTATTATTATCATTATTTTTCTTTTTAGCCAGTTAAAGCCCCTGGACTGATTTGTACTTAATTACATAATGTTGAGTAAGTCACTTCCCTCTTCAGGCCTCAGTTTCCTTATCAGTGTAGAGGGGATATAGGAAGTTGATAATTGACTCCCTGAGTTCGAAGCATCCATGAAAGGCCTGAGAGGGGCCAGAGCTGGGGTCAGACAAGCCTGGCATTGAACCCTAGCTCCAACTTGCTGTATGGCCTTGGACAAGTTATCTGGTCCTCAGTTTCCTTATCTGAAAAGGTCAGCACCTACCTCACAGGGTTGAAAGGTTCAGGGAACAAGGTATAAACAAAGCTTTGCCTAGTACCTGGTACCAGATCCGTGATTAATGCCACTGCTGTTCCTATTTTGGGTCAAAGAGGGAGGTACAGATGGGGTGGGTAGGTGGTGACAAGGGCGGTGAGGGACAGAAACCAAGCAGAAGAGCTGGGTCCACCGAGCACATAGTAACAGGTGCTGAAGAAACATTTGTTGAATTGGAAAGGGATGGGGCACCTGGATGATGGCTCCAGTGTGTGCAATAGCTTGGGGCAGCTCTGCCCAGGAGAGGGAGTCTTGCCCCAGGATGAGCCAAGCTCAGGGTCTCTCAAACCGTGGGTCCTCTGCAAAGTCTGACAAGCAAGAACTGAAAATAAAGGTCAGCCCTACCCCAGCAGATCTTGACCCTGGTCAAGGAGGAACCAACAGGTTTGGGAGAGGGATATACCCCCCCCCAATTTCTTCTTCCTCTGGCTCCTTCCCAAGCAGTCTCCCCCAGCGGTCAGGGCCCACTTCCACCTGGTGACCTTCTAGGATGGGACTCCTGAAGCTTCCAAAGATGACCCAATTTTCCAAACCTTAGATGGGGTCTCAGAGTCTGTGGTGCCCTTTCCTTGGTAAGGACTGTAGGATGGGCTCTGAAGGGAGGGGATTTTGGGGACATTTTGAGAGTTTGTGGGACAAAGGGACAGGAGAGGTCTGGGTGGTGTACAGTGAATTTAAACCATCTGTACCTCTACTGGGCTCTTACACCCACTCCACAGAGCAGGAAGCTCCTGGTTAAGTCTTGTTTGTCAGAAGGCAACTCGAAGAGGCCAGGGGCCCTGCCTGGGTGATTCCCGCAAGCCCCCTGCAGCCTGCCGACCATCCGGCCTCCGCAAAGCCTGTTAATGATGATGGTGATGAAGGCTGTCAGAGGAGGGCTGGGCCCACAGGGATGGAAAAGGGGTTGTGTCCTCCCTGAAGGGACAGCCATGCACAAAACCATGGCTGCACAGAGAGGTCCATTCCACGGGGGGCAGGAGCTTTCCGCCGATACCCCGCATCACCCTCTTTCACCCCCAAACTGCATCAGAAACAAGATGAACAGAGAAAGAGAAACCTAATGTACAGATAGAAGGGTCTGCAGGGAGGGGCTCGCGGACTCGCTCAGAACAAGGCAGGGGGGGTGGGCCTGGGGTCTGTCTGCCAGGCCCGGCCCACCCCTGACGGATTGACACCCCCCCGCCCCCCCCCCAAGGCCCTCGTGTTAGCGCCAAGGCCCACTCTCCCAGGCGGAGGCCCCAGCCCAGCTCCAGCGCCTGGGAAAGCCGCCTGTTTTGTTCCCATCTCCACCCCCCCTTCTCTCTCTCTCTCTCTCTCTCTTTTTTTTTCATTCATTGCAGTTCGGTCCCTTTCGGAGGCGCAGGGACCCCGGTGGCAGGGCTGAGGCAAGGGGGTGGCACTCCCGGCCCTGACAGGTAGGGCCAGCCCTCGCTTTGGGCAGCCCCTTCCCCGCCCTCCCCCCGGGTCCCCTCTCCCTGCCCCTGTCAGCCGCGCCAGACGCTCTCCGGCTTTGCAGCATTCAATAAAAATTCAGAAACATTTGGGCTGAAATCGCTGCTTTATCTGGAGGAGCCACAGCGCCGGGAGAGACCACTGCTGCGCGGGGGGAGCTCGGGGTCTCCGTCGCCCCGACGCGCGAGGTCTCCGCGTACCAGAGCCCGCGCCGCCCCCGGGGTGGCCCCGCAGACGCCGGGGGGGCTGCGGCTCGGGGGGCGCGCGCGGCCAGCTGGGGTCCCGGGCGCGCGCGGGGGGCGGCGGCCGGGCCGGGCTCCCCCCGCGCCCGAGGCTCAGGTGGGCCGTGCCCAGCGCTGGCGGAGCCCGGGTCCCCGTTCTGCCCGGGCTGGATGGCTCATTCTGCTGGCTGCGCGGTGGCGGCGGCTGTGTGTGCGCCGCGCCTCGCCGCTCCCCCTCGGCCCCCCGAGCCCGGGGCGCGCGCTGCCGCCCGGGCCCCGCGGCGCCGCGGCCCGAGGCCCCGGGAAGCGCAGCCATGGCCCTGCGGAGGCTGGGGGCCGCGCTGCTGCTGCTGCCGCTGCTCGCCGCTGTGGAAGGTGAGCGGGCGGGCGGGCGGGCGGGCGATGGGGGCGGGGAGCGGCCGGGCACGGGCGGCCGCCGGCGCCCACCTCCGCCCCGCGGCCCGCAAAGTTTGCCCGGGGGCTGGCGCCGGGCGCAGGTGGCCGCGGGGAGGTGTGTCCGGCCGCGCCGGGAGGCGCGGGCCCCACGGGCGCCCGGGGAGCGGCGGGCGCTGATTGACTGTGCCAGGAGGAGGCGAAGGGACCATCTTGCCGAGGCTTTGTAGCCAGCCCGGCGAGCGCCGCCCAGGGCCGGGGGCTGCCCACGCGCGCTCGCCGCCGCTGGCCCGGGCACCCCCTCGGTGCGGGCCTGGCCTGGCTCCGCACGGGGTGGAGAGGCGCCGGCCCGGGGCCCCGGTGCGCAGTCGGGGCTGGAAAGTTTGGCAGGGAGCAGAGGGAGGGAGGCACCGCGGCTGGCCGGGGGTGGGGGCCCGCGATCTGCGTCCCCGGGATGCGGCCGGCGCCCCAAAGAGCGGGGGGAGACGGGCAGAGTGGAAGTGAACGCGCCAGCCCCCCGCGCCTGCCTGCCCATCGCCCGCGGCGTACAATGGGGTCCCCTCCCCGGGAGGACTACGGGGGTGGGGGGGATGGGTCCGTGGGCATCTCTCCGCGGCGCGGGGTCTCCGGGCACCCCTGCCGGCCACCGCCCCGCTGGCGGCAGAGCTCAGCGTGGCCGCTGGAGCCCCGGGAACTCTCCAGCTGCCGCCAGGGCCAGACCAGATGCTCTTGCCATGTGTTGGCCTTGGCCAGGGTCGCTGGTCCCTCTCCCCATGGCTTCGTGTGTTGGTACCACCCGACCCCCAAGGGGTCAGGGTGGCTGCCAGGTCTCCCAGGGCAGCTTGCTCTGGAGGGAAAGTTAGTGGGGTCTGGGTGTGTCCACCAGAAATGGCCAAGCCTGTAGGGCAAGAAAGGAATATGAATAATGGTTCTCATGTGTCCTGCACTTTACAGTTTCCAACCCGCTTTACAGTTTATGAAGTACTTCGCACTATACGCAGTTCTCTGTGGTTTACAACGTGCTGCACAGTTGACAAGGTACTTTAAGCTTCGCAAAGTGCTTTCCCACCCACAATTTTGTTGGATTCCCCCAAAATAAGTCTTCCACAGAAGCCAGGTGCGTATGATTGTTCCTCCCTTTCAATAGAAAGGGAAATCGAGGCTCAGAAAAGTCAGTGGCTCACCCATGGCCTTTGGGTGATAAAAATAGAACCCAGGGCTGAGGTCTCTGAAGCCCAGGCTCTGTTGAATTGCTGGCTTTTCTTGCCCCTAAACAGGGTGAGCCCTTCTAGGATTTTGCCACCACCGGCTGAGGGGTGAAGCATACATTCCCTCATCTCAAGCCACTTTGGGATGGTGGGAAGCCCCTTCCCCTTCTGCAACTCAAAAAAACAAAAACAAAAAAAAACAGAACAAAAACCTGATCAGACCAGGCGCAGGACTGTGGCCTCTGCAAACGGCGTGGTGGGGGACCCCGTGCTGTAACTTTAGTTCTTCTCTCAGTAAATGAGCACGTTAGTGACCGCAGTTTGGGGGCAGAGGGGTGTCCCTAGATGGCAGTCAGTTTCTCAAACTCAGGCAGCTGTCCTCTGGTTCCTGGAGGATTTGGCGGTTGCCTGTGGTTTCCCAGAGTGAGGCCACTGGGGCACCAAGGGTGCCACGGGTCCTGGGTGCAGAGGGCAGCCCTGGGGCCTGGCTGCTGGCGGGAGCTCCCTGGAATATGGCTGAGGTACCACTTATTAACTATGGCTTTGGGGAAATGACTCATGTGTTGGCCCGCTATACATTGGGATGTTTACAGTATTATGGGGAGCTTGGCATAAATATTGCTATTTAGGTTGCAGTCAGCAGTACTGGAGGGGAAGAAAATTGGCCCCTCTCATGTTGGAAGAGGCCTGGGTGTGTTTTTAATTACCATGGGGTAGATGGAAAGCCCATGCCTGTCCGGCCGTGGCCCTGGCTGGGATCTGGTGGGCTGTGGACCCTGGACACGGGGCTGATCAGCTGCTGACATCACAGGAGGAGATGGCTGCTGGGGGGCACTCCAAACCTTGCTTCTGGTTCTTCCTTTGCCCCCCACCCCCAAGACACGAAGGAATCTAGTCTGTTAGGGGTTAACAAGGAGCTGGCCAAACGGATGGGGATGTGGTGTGAGGTGGAGGTCAAGGCCCTGCTTCTAATTTACTACAGGACCCTAGGCCAGCTTCCTCCCTTATAGGGGCCTCGGTTTCCCTGTGCGTAAAATGGTTTAGGAGATCTCTTGGGATTCCGTGATATGCATCCACTTCCTCTCTGTGAGCCTGTTTCTTCCTCATCAGATGAAGGCATAATCATAGCGCCCATCTTGCCTCTGTTTGTGAGATTCAGACCACGCAGTGTACGAGAAAAGCCCACCTTGAGGAACAATGTGTGTGGCCTTTGGGGGGTGGAAGATGAGGGTGGGCAGGGCTGCTCGTGGCACATCCCAGAAGAGATGGGTTCAACTGGGAACAGTGCAGTCTGTGGAGACAGGTCTGAAGCTTGGGGTGTTGGGAGGGCTGCCCCTGCAGCTCCCAGTCCCTTGAATCACACAGCCGGCACTCCCTTCCCTCCCTGCTCCTCATACCCTGTAGTAGCAAGGCTGTCCTGAGCATGAAGACCCTAGGAAACCCCCAGTCTTTGGAACGAGAGAGGGGAGAGAAGGTGTATGTGTACTGAGGGATGGGCGGCTCCAGGGTTAATATGGTGAGCTCAGTATCTCCCCCAAACCATGAGACACTCCACCCCACCCTGCCCCAGGGAAACACAGTCTGGAGCATCTGGAGTGGGGGTTAGAGAGGGATGGAAATGCCCTGGGGACACATCCAACAGGAGAAGAGGCCAGTGACAGACCAGCCACTAGATGGAATCCGAAGGTTAAAGTCTAGAGAAAATCCGTCTCCGTGCATTTGCTCATTTGGTCTCCAAATATTTATGGAGCTTCCTCTCTGGCCAGTGTGGTGCTGGACCCTGGGGCCAGCAGGGAGATAGGGGACAAGCTGATAGGGAAAACAGTTGGCACTGTATAATGTGATCAGTGCGTCCCAGAGTGTTGCCAGGAGGAAGTTGTGCACCACCTGGGGCAGCAGAGTCGGTTTAGGATGGAAGACGGCTATTTCCTCTGTTATGGCTTTATTCTTTGCCTCGTTTTCTCCCTACTTCATTCTCCCTGTAATGAAACTTCCTCAGCCACCTGTCACAATAAAGAACTGTATTCTCAAAAGTTAAGGAGGTTGCCTTTAGGACTTAGAGGATGAGGAGAATTTTACCTGGAAAGAGAAGCAGCATGTGTAGGGACGTGGAGGCATGGACTGGGGACTCGCTTGGGTGCACCTGAGGAGGGTGGGTGTTGAGGGCAGCAAGGGGATAAGAGCCTGAAGGTGGAGGGCAGGGCAAGTCCTGAAAGGCTAGGATGGAAGGCTGAGGAATTTGGACTTGATGCTGAGGGCAATGGGGAGCCATTGAAGATTCTTGAGCCATTGAGGGACCTGGCCAGATTTGTGTTTGGGAAGATCTCTGCCGTCCTGTGTGTGGGATGTTCAGATGAGCCAGCTTGGCTGTTCCCTGCTAGACTGTGAGCTCCCTGAGGGAGCTCACCTGGCTTATTTTTATGTCCACAGTTGTGGTAAAAAGAGCTCAATTCAAATGCCACCTCCCCAGAGGCCTTCCCTGAGTACCTCGTCTAAAACAAACTTAGTTCGGCCACTTTCTAACCTACCTGCTTTGTTTTGCTTCATAACACCCATGGCCACCAAAAACTGTATCAGGGCTTTGTTCCTTTCCTTGTTTTGTATCCATCTTGCCCAGTAGACTATAAACTCTGGGAGGGAAGAGGCTTTTATCAGCCATGTTTGCTGTGGCATCTCCAGTGCCTAGAACTGTGCCCATTCCCACAGGTCCCCAGGACCTGAATGACACACTCAGCTAAGGAACACTGAATGAATGTATGTCAAGGGAGCGCATGAACGAATATGTCCCACTGTGTTCTGTGATAAGTATCAGGGGAATGACACGGGGGTGAAGGGGAGAGTCTACCTGGCCAGGGAGATGAAGGAAGTCTTCCTGGAGGGAGAAGCTGAGGGCCTGGCTGGAGCAGGGATACAGGACACAGCTCAGCCAGGGCTGAGGATTCAAACGGGTGAGCAGCAATGTGCTAGACACGCCATCCCCTCCTTGTGAGGCTAGAGGGAGCCCTCCCGCCCCCGTCTCTCTCCTGGGCGCACCCTCTTGGGCGTTACCTATCTAAGACCCATCGACCTTCAGTGGGATTAATTTGGAATTCGTTTTCCTTTTATGTTTGTTTCTTCCGCTTTTCATTTTTAAAGGAGGCTGCTTTCATGTATCTGTCTTAGCCGGGAAATCTGGGCTTAGATTTAAAACCCAAATGCTGTAGAATTCAGAAGCAAGCTGACTTATTCATTCATTCCCCCATCCATCCATGAGCACCCACTCTGTGTCAGGTGTGGGGTAGGGGGAAGGCTTTCTGGCTTTGGTGGGGAAACAGGGCCAACCGACTTCACAGACAGTGTGGGGTAGAGAAGAAACACCACGTTCTAAGGCAGTTGGACCTGGGTTTAAATCCTAGCATGCTGTGTCCTGGGCAAGGAACTCAGATTCCCTGGACTTCTTACCCCCAGGGGTTTCTGTGGACACCCACGGAAAGTGGCAGACACTCCGGCACATGGCCGTGAACATTAGATGCTCTTCTCAGCCCTTTTGAGGTCCCTTCCTCTGGAGTGTAGGCATAGTCCGTGATGGCCGTGTCCTAATTTGGCCCCCTTTTTGGCATTTGGATTGTCCAGGCAACAAATCAACCCTCAATGTCTCTCTCAACCCATTGCTCAGGCTCCCAGCGTCCCCCAGTCTTGGGATGGCAACCCCACAAGTGTGGGTGGGCCCAGAGCTCCATCTCCGTCTCCTCCTCCAGGGCCTTGTTGGGGGCAAATGCTTGGGTTCTTACACCA